TTTTTTTTTCTTTACTCGTTTGTTTTCTTTCTTAAATTCCACATGTGAGTGACATACAGTATTTGTCTTTCTCTGATTTATTTTGCTTAGCATTATACTCTCTAGCTCCATCCATGTTATTGCAAATGGCCAGATTTCATTCTTTTTTATGGCTGAGTAATATTCCTCTGTGTGTGTGTGTGTGTGTGTGTGTGTGTGTGTGTACATACCACATCTTCTTTATCCATTCATCTGTCAGTGGACACTTGGGCTGCTTCCACAGTTTGGCCAAGGTAGATGATGCTGCTATAAACATCAGGGTGCATGTAGTTTCTGAACTTTCTGCACATCATAGCTATTGCTGAGAATGGTGGTTTCCATGAGAAAACACACCTCAGATTAGAGGACCCTTTGAGCATTTCCTCTCTTACCTAGAATAAGAAATATGATGTGTGAACATATTTCCGGCAAAGCCCTTAGAACAGTTCCTGGCACCTAATTAGCCTTAAAGAACTGTTTGCTGTTGTTACTAGCGTTCCTGGTCATTTATTCATTCATTCATTCACTTGAGTGTGTGCTATCACGTATCGAGGCCCTGAGGTGTTTGCTGTGGAAGCCCAGGGCTGGATCACACAAAGATCCTGTCCTCAGAGATGGAATGTTCTGCTAGGAAAATAAGATGAGCAAACACATAAATATAATGGAGTGAAGAAAGGGATACGTGTCTAACAAAGGTCTAGCATGGAGCTTTTGGGGGGTAGGCAGAAGCTGGAGAGGGCTTCCAGAGGGTTGGAGAGGAAGGCGAGGTGGGCGGGGGTGGTACCTGAGTTGCATCTGGGAGGATGGGAAACGTTCAGACTCTGCTGAACCTCGTGAAGTGCTTTCCAGGTGAAGGGAATGGTAGGACCAAAAGCAGAAAATAGCGTATTTAGAGAGAAAATATAACTAGTTTGCTTTGCCCAATTGAAGGCTGTGTTTTGAACATGTGTTCTGCCTCATCTCCAGAGTTCCCTTGCCCCATATTTTTTCATTTCTTTACCCATCAATTAAGTCCAGCAGATTGTAATAAGGAGGGGCAGTTATTAAAATGACGCAAACGGGTTTGGTAATTATAGCGGCTGCTAAATGTGTAATCTCTCTGTTCTTGTAATTATTAAGGTTTTTATTTTTATAAACTGATTGCCTCTTGTTCTAAAACGTCCTTAATAGTATGCAAATAGGGGCCAGGAAGCAATAGAAATCTAAAAACATGATTTCCTTTGCATTCCACATTAATCACCCACGCAGACTGACCGGTGGTGGCTTGGTACATCTCGAAAGGCCCACTGTCACTCGCCTCAAAATAGATTGGGGCTAGATCCGGGCTGCCTTCTGTCCTCGCAGCCTTTCCCAGAGTGCAAAAATCACACCTTGGGTTTTACATTAGCTTTCTGCTATGACACACACAATGTCATGACTTCTTTTCTCTTTCCTTGACAGTAATTCCATCATCTGCTTGTGATAGATCACTCTGCCTTTGGCGGTTTAGCTTATCCACTTAACAGCTGAATATGCCCCTACAGAGTGGTGTGGAAGAAGCTCCAGGGTTCCCTGGTGGATGGAGCTGAAGCTGTTGGCAAGTCTCCACCTCTTTGTGCCTCAGTCAGCGCATCCATCCATTGGGGGTGTTACTGTATGCTGTGGAGAAATCACAGCCTTGTATTTTGTGAACACTTGTTCTGCTTAAAGGTATTTCAAGATAACCAGGTTCTAAGTTAATAGGGGTAATTTCTTAAAATAAGATTGTCTCACTTACGGAGATCTCGCTGGAACAGACGAATTCTGTGTTTTCCTAATTTATTTGAAGCTTGAAATAATCATCCAACAACGAGAACTAATATAAATGGAAATTCATAGCATAAAAAGGCTGCATAGGGCTCAACAGCTTATAAACCCAATTGTGAATAGCTATAAGGCCCAGAACAATCAGAGACAAATGGCTTATATGCTCAATAAATATTTCTAGAATGAATTTTTTTTTCCTTGGGAGAACAACTATGTTTAGATTAAACAGTGATTTAAGTAGGGCTAAGGGTTATAAAGTGAGTATCTCTTACTGGGATTTTGAATTTCTTTACATCTTATAAGTTGTGTACTATGTTTTAAAATAGTACCTATTCAAGTACGTATTATGATTATCTGTTTTAATAAAGTATTTTTGCTGGTGCTCATTCTCTATATTATCAATATATATACTCTGTTTATATATTTTTTCTGTGTATATACTCTCTATACTCTGTTCTTTCCATATGTACATATTGTACATAGTCTATATGATCATATACTCTATGTGTATATACTCTGTATATTCTTTTACTATGTATATAAATATATTCTCTCTCTTTATATGCCGTTTTCTGAGACATTTGACTGTGCCACAAAGGGTTTAGATTGTGAATCCAAGGCCAAGATACTCTGGGGCCCTGATGCCTGCTTATCTGAACAGAGGGTGTAGTGTCGAGGGAAGAGAGCTGGAATGTCAGTCTTCCAGATCAGAGCCCGTAATATTCCCCCCCTCACCTTCGCCAGTGTTGAATCATCGCTGTGCGGTTTCCCCAGCATCAGAGGTATCTCAAATGTAGAAGGAGATCCCCCTGGAAAAAGCCCTAGGGCGCTTTACAAGGGGGATCGCTGACGACTTTGTCGGTGGTAGGTCGGGAGGAAGCTTCCTTTTCACGTTTCTGTCCTTTGCTTGGATGGGCCTAGTTTTCCGAAAAGCAGGACACCGATCTTGTGAGGCCTTTAAGCCTGCTGATTGCAATTCCAACACAGACGGGTTTGTGTGTTTGCTCCTTCAGCTCTACGTGGCCACGGAGGCCATCCTCATCGCCCTGGTGGGGGCCACGCCCGCGTACCGCTGGGACCTGGCGGGGCTCCTGCCCAATCAGAGCCTCGGCAACCGGTCAGCAGGTGACGATCACGCGCTCGGGGACTGGCTGCGGACCGCCAACGGCAGCGAGGTCCGCAAGCACGTGCACTTCAGCGGCAGCTTCACCTCCATCGC